CTAGTGCCCACACACCACCTGGGTGGGCTTCGTGGCCTCAGAATGCCCCTTTTCAAACGGATGAGCCAACTTGCAAGAGCAAAATCCTGCAAAAATCCCTTTTGTGTGAATAGGGCTGCCTGCCTGGCCCTGATGGCCCTGAGAATGGTCCATGCCTTGCTCCGGTGATCCTCAGGAACATCCAGATCTCAGGATCGGTCCATTCCCATCGAAAGAGATCCAGTGGAAACTGGAGGGTGGGAAAGTCCCCTCCCATCATTTGCTCTGTTAAATAGGAGCCTATTTTCCAACCCAAAGACTCAGGCTGGCCTGGATTGGAAAGAACCATTGGAAGTTCTGGTGGGGGGGGGGTGTTGGTGTTGGGCTGCTTCATCCTCCCTTTCCAGCTAGCCAATTGCAAAAATAAATAAATTGAAACTGGCCCTTTTGTGCCGTGGGCGACATCCGCATAATTACCTTCCCTCTCTTCCTTTTGCACTTGAAACCTTCCTAAGGGAAGAGAAATTGGCACTGACTCCTTTCCATCTGGAAGGTTTTAGAAGGAGGGCGAGCGACACCCTTGCCAATTCAAATTTAAATTCACAAATTTAAAGCAAAACAGCCTCCACGGTTGTGTCATCTTAGGGAAAAATTGCAACAAAATTTATAATAATAATAATAATAATAATAATAATAATAATAATAATAATAATAATAATAATAATAATAATAATAATCAGAAATTTTGGAGCCCAATTCCCATCATCCAAGGCTAGGACTGGTGAGCAAGCTCCTCCAACGTTTTGTTGCAGCTCTTGATTCTACAAATGAAGTTTCAGATTTCTTCATTTTGATGCATTCCCACAACACGCTGAACCAACTCTGGGGGTGGGGGGGAATCTAGCAAGCTGGTGCATTTGTACAGCTTGCCAAGATTGGTTCGTAAGAACCTCGGTGAAGCTAACTTGTGGCATATTTGTGTTGTGCAAACTCACCCTTTGACTTGGGTGTGAATGTTCTACAGGAAATCTAATCGGGGGGGGGGGGGGGGGTCAGACCAGATGACCTCACAGACACCTTCCACTCTGACAGTGTTTTTATTCTAGAAATAATATGTTGTATATATGTATTAATTATTATTATTTTGTGATTGGTTAGCCTATAGCCATATAAATGTACAAGGTTCAAACACGTATTACCACTAAAAATTGGTAATTGTTTGTATAGGATTTTATTGGTAATACATGTTTGAACCTTGTACGTTGATATGGCTATAGACTAATCAATCAATCATAATAATAATACTTTTTTTTTTTAAAAAAAAGGGGACCTAAACCTTCTACCTTTCAAAATTCCAAGTTGAGTCTTTATCTCTTCCAAATTCAGTGAGACAAAAAGGGCTGTATAATTATTTTAGCTGTATGGCGTTTAACCTGCATGATCTCATCGGAAATTATTTTATTACCAAGGGCAGCATGTCAGACTCAGTAAAACTTTACACAAAGATAGATAAAGGGGGGGGGGGGAAAGCCGTGTAAGAATTAGAAATGGATCTTGCTTAAACGGCTATTTCAATCAAGTGGAAAGAAGAAAGGAATAGATTCTCGCGATTGGTAAAAACAACAACCCTATCTTTTTTTTTAATTGTATTGGTTTTTAAAAACAAACATAAACAAACAAAACATAAAAACATCAAGCCATCTTCCATAGGTGTACATACAGTGTGACGGTTGGTTTACAAATTGTTTTGTGTTTCCATTTTGTAGTCTTCAATTACAATTAACAACAACAGCCCTATCTTGAGAGGAAGTCTTCCGAAGAGAAATTTTTCAGAAGCATCCTTTCTATTTCATCAGACTTGCGTATTCTTAAGAGGATAATTCATTTTTTTTCCTGGTCTCAGTTTGTGGCCTTTCTGGTTGACTATTTATACAAAGCCAGGATCCTACTGTAAAATAATAATCATAATAATACACATCTCAGTTGAATAGAGGCGAGCAGATGCATTTGTAAATCGCAGATACTGTGGCTCATTTTAATTCTGAAAAAGCTTTTCTGCCAACCTTTGACGTATTTTATTTTATTTTATTAGTTTAGTTTATTAGTTTATTTATTCTCTCTCTCTCTCTCCTTCTCCCTCCCTTCCTCCCTCCCTCCCTCTCTCTCTCTCTCTTTGGATAATGATGCTAATTGGCCTTGAAAGCAAACTGAACTCCACAAGCCGCATTTCCCCTCAGAACAAGTCGATCCGAAGCCATTAGCCTGCAATAAATGGTGATGCTTTCAAAAAAACCTTTCCCAGCCAAAACGTGGGGCTGAAAGTAGAGCCTCCATGTGCAAGCACAGCGGAGGCTGCTGAACACGCTTGCCAGACTCCAAAGTTTGGCTCCGGAAAGCCGAAAAGGCTTTCAGCTTAATGGAGCTTGGAAACAGGACGCTGGGTGGGAGGGCTGAGTTTTTTTTTTTCTCCCTTGGAAGTTTGGATTACCTTGCCCGGCCCAGCCTCGGTCTTCGCTTCTGGTTAAGTAACGATCTTGGCTACGGATCCTGGCTGATATAATTACACGAGAGGGTAAAAAAAGCTCCTTTGTGTGTGTGTGTGTGTGTGTAGGGTGTGTGTAGGGTGTTTAACCAGCATTTCTTTGTTTCCTGTGCCAGCCTTTTGCAAAGGGCCACTCACACCCGCTTCCCTAAGCGGTAAAGAATGTGCACATTCAGGGAAGGATCCTGGCTTGTTTCTCTTGTGGGGTCCCAATATTTTAGGGGTCGTCACAAAGAAGAGGTGGGGAGGAGAACTAAGGAGAAAACTTCCTGACAGCAAGGACAATTTATCTGGACCTTCCTCCAGAATTTGTGGGTGCTCCACCGCTGGAGGTTTTCAAGAAGAGGTTGGACAGCCCCTTGTCTGGAATGGCATAGGGGGTTGGACTAGAAGACCTCCAAGGTCCCTCGCAACTCTGTTATTCTGTCAGTCTTTCCTCTCTGGAAGGACGAGAGAAACCCTCTCCCCGCATTCTCTGTAACTTTATTCAGCTGACCTACCGAACGTGGAGGGACCATTGAGCCCATCAGCCACTCCGTAGGCAGTCTTAATAACGGGTGCCCAAGAAGGTCTTCTAGTCCAACCCCCTTGGTCAGGCAGGAGACTTTAGGCCAGAGACCTCCTTCTCCTCTGCAGAACCTGAAGAGGTCTCCTCCTCCTTCGCAGATCATTCCCCCACCATGGAGAAATCTCACTTCCCTTTTGTTTCTCTTTCTTTTTCTCCTACAGGACTGCACCTTCTTCACACGAAAGGAGATCCTCAGGTGAGCAGAATACGCACCTTGTTTTCCACCCTCCAGGTTTGTCCACAGGAAGAGGCGTCGGCTGTCGCTCAAGTCCTTCCTTGGGGGCAAAGAACGAGAGGAGCCTGCATACCTTGAGGGTAAAGGATGGGGGTAGCTCTTCCAGATGTAGACCCCCAAATGAATAGGGGGCTGTTTCGGAGCTCCAAGCTCTGAGAAGGTCACAGCCCGGAGGTGTTGGCAAACTCAAGGAACCATCTGGGACAAAACCCCTTGGATTAAAAACAAAGCAACCAATGTCCTCACTATCCATCATCATCATCATCACCATTCTTCTTCTTCTTCTTCTTCTTCTTCTTCTTCTTCTTCTTCTTCTTCTTCTTCTTCTTCTTCTTCTTCTTCTTCTTCTTCTTCTTCTTCTTCTTCTTCTTCTTCTCCTCCTCCTCCTCCTCCTCCTCCTCCTCCTCCTCCTCCTCCTTCTCCTT